GAGTCAGGGTCTTGGAGCCTCGGGCGTCGCAAGGATCTCCGCCCAAGGAGGCAACGAAGCTTTAAAGCGCCGAGGAAGTGGGCCACCCAGCTCCGCGACATGGGCTTCACCAAGCGAGGGAACCCGGAGTTTTGCTGGGTGGGGGCGGTCGGCTCAGCGTTGTCTGGTGAAGCGTCGTGTTCTTTGACACCGCAGATATGCTAGCCTTAATGGCCTGGCCTCTCGTGTCATGCATCTTGCCCTGACCAAGTGTGAGTGGCGAAGCCAGTAAGCTCCCCGCCGACCTAAAGACCCAGCATTTGCACAAGCCTTGACAGAGCCGGTGCAAAGCAAAAGCGATAGCAACAGCACATCGAAGCAAAAAGGCGTCGCGTCGACGCGACTCTTCCGGGATGCCGCTCCTTGCGCGAGGCCTGGGTCCGCCAGGGCAGGGCCTCACAGCACCAGAAATCCTGAAGAAAAATCATGAAGTGATATGGCAATACATCTCGGGCGCACAATGGGTACGCGAAACGGCTTAGGGGTTCCAGAGAAGCCGGCTTGCAGATGGTGTGCATAAAGCGTTGCATTACGTTTCCGGAGTCGCGGAAGCATTTCAATCTTGGGGCCCCGGGGCCTCGGGTGAAGATCGCGCCGTCAGGAAAGGAGTAAGTGTGCTCCTGCTGGCTGTCATGTCATCCGACTAGTCAAGATCTCGTCTCTTTGCGTGAGCTCTACAAGCCCAGATGCCCAACAAAAGACCTCAACCAGCTACTGGCGTGTGGAACAGCCAGGCAGTCGAGAGGTTGTGCGGATAATGCTCAGAGATCCTCGGCAGCGGCGGAGGACCGATTTTCTTTCAACAGGTTCAGGGCGTGATAAACTGTCGTCCAATCCTGCTTAGAGCAGCCGGTCGATTGCGGTATGTCAGTGTGTGTTGTAATTCTGTGGGTCCTTGCACCCGCCCGCCCAACCTCTTCGACATTGAGCCGTGGACTTCGATCACTCGCATGCAGAGGCGAATCGAATCACCCGGAGTGAGACTTGAATGCTTGGCCTTGAGCAGAAATATTAAAGCACAGAAGCTACTGTCACCTGAACACGCACTGTGGGGTCGAGTGTCATCAAAAGGAGACAGTCGTGTAGTCAGCCAGCCATCCCAACTTCGAGCACCGAGCATATGGAAGAAGACTTTGTGGGATTGCTACAGATAGACTATATGTCTCTGCGTACTCTATTCTACTGTATTCTGCTCTGCTTCATGTTCTTCTTCTTCTGATTCTTATTACTGTCATTGTTATTGTTCTTCTTGTTCTTATTGTCCTTCTTCACCTTTCTATTCCTGTCTCTCAGGCCGAATCCCATTCCCATTCTTCTAGTCCTAGTTCTAGTTCGTATTCTAGTTTACTGTGACCTTTTCCAACGAATTAGTTTTCTATTTTGTTTTATGCTGCGTTATTCTGTTCGAGTCTAGTCTAGTTTAATCGTTTTCTATTCTGTATAGACAATTTATATACCGCACTGCATGAGGACGCCGCGAATTCGCTGGGATGCCAGCGGTCTGAATCACATGATGAGAACGTTGCAATTGCAGACGATTGGATGCACAGAGCGACTAGGGTTGGCGCATTCCAAGGGTTTGCCCCAGCAGTGAAAACCGACCGCAGCAATCTATAATTTCAGGCTGGTACCACCATCCTGTACTGCCCGGGTCCTCGCGCCAAGCCGGTATGTGAACGAACGTAAAGTCCCACGCAATCACAGTCTCCAGAAGATGAAGGAAAAGTCTCACAATCGCTGGGTCAACGAGGGATGTTATCGCTGACCTCAGCTTGGATCTCAAGGCCCATGGCAAGCGGGCTAGCTCCTGCTGTAGCCAGGGATGGGCCGGTGCTTCCATCCAATCGCCCAAGAAATCCATGCATCAAAGGGGGCTAAACGAACCCACTCGTCATCAGTAGTTGGACAGCCAGCATGCTTACAGGTGCAAGCTCACGGGTAGATGTTCCTACACGTATTTAGTGGAGGTAGCATGCAAACCTGGAGCCATCCTCCCGCTAAGAAGCCGCTCGCCCTTCTTCGTGGCTGCGTGGTCGACAGTCTGCGACACGCGGCGACAAAACAGAGCGCCAGCTTCTGTTCAGCGGAGCCGGGTGTCTGGTTGATATCATCACCTGGAAAGTGCACCCTTTCAGCATCTCGATGTAGAGCCCCACCTCTCCCACCGGCTTTGTGACCTGTCGGCCATTTACGATTAGGCGAGCTCTAGTTCTGCACATGGAAAAGCAAGGTCAGTTTGTATGGAAAGCTATAGTCCCTTGTGCCTGTTCATGTTCCAGAAGAGCAACTCACTTCCTGCCGAGATGAGACTCATTCTACCATCCTGGCTGGCTTCCGGTCTGCCAAGTACGTCGAGGCAGCGGAGGGGCTTTAGCCACAGAGGACTTCCGGGCGGGTGACGGCGAAGCTTAACGCAAGATGCCGAGCTAAGGTGCTTTGAGTCTACAGATCGAAATTCCCGCCTGAGGTGGAACATTTGCGCTACGTTGCTCTTCGCGGGAACGATAACCTGTGACAAGTGTGCATTGCCAACGAACCTCAGCCACCTCAACTGTGCGCATCCACTGCAAGGGATTCTTAACATGTCCTAGTCCCCAAGAGCGACCTGTGCTCTTGGAGGTGGCGAGCAACGAAGTTCTCTGGAGCAGGCCCGTGTGGCCGAGGGCTTCTGGGTCACTGTACGGGTTACTATCGAGGTTACTTTGAGGGTCACTTTTTGTTGAGTATCGGCGTTCGAGGAGTTGACCATCGGACCGCATTTTGGGCGTGCCATTCATATGAGCCTCCTTCGAAGTGCTTGTGCTGCGTAACCACGCCGCCTTCCAAGCCTTAAGCCTTGAAGCCATGAAACAAATGTGAACCCCACTGCTTGAACCTGCAACCGTATAGCAAAGCTTTCCCAACCCTTAAACCTTGCAAGAGTGCACCAGATGGACAACATACCTGGGGCTGTTCTGCCGAAAAACCCTAGCCATTGAATTGAGATTTTACCACGACCCCAAATCAGAACCAAAGACTACAAGCCCCACAGCAACCCTACTGTGCGGGCTGCCTGCCTGCGCAACCTTGCAAGCCCTGTCGCGATTCTGAGAATCCTGGATCTATTGGCTGCAGTGCCTCGCAAACGGTCCCTCGCGAATGTCCTCGGGCCAAATCACTGCTGCGGGCTGCCCGCACCTCCTTCCAAGCCCTCGCCGACTCACTCGCTGCGGCCTGCTGACACCGCTTTCCAAGCCTTCAAACCCTGCAAAAACTGTTTAACCCTCTTGCTTTCTCCTTGAACCTGCAACCGTATAATAAAGCTTTCCCAACCCTTAAACCTTGCAAGAGTGCACCAGATGGACAGCATACCTGTGACTTTTCTGCAGAGAATGCCTAGATTTGTGTTCATTGAGTTTTACCAAGATCCCAAATCAGAACCAAATCCCGGCCCTCTCCGACACTTGCGTGCCACCTGCTGACGCTCTCTTCGTCGCGATTCTTGGGTACGTGCACGATGCGGGCTGCCTGCCCGCACCGCCCTGCTAGCCCGGTCGCGATTCTGAGTAAGTTCGCTACTATGGGTGCGCCCCTCCCTCCCGCCCCGTCCCGAATCTTGGGTCGATTCACTGCTGCGGGCTGCTTGCTCCACTTGTCCTGATGCAATCAATAGTCCAATCATCGCTTTCACCTGCTGCGTCACGTGTCTTTGGACGGAGTGTGAAGTGTCTTTGCATCTTTTGCCTCGCCTCGAGGTCCCAAGGGGCCATAATTTAGTGAAGCGGGCCTAAGCCCATGCAGAGGTTCAGCGAGCTTTGTGCATGAGCCTCAGTGTGACTTCGAGGTGAAGTACAGAAGCGGAAGCGAAGGTTTTGCCAGGTTAACATGGGGCTACTGATGGCTGCTGCCATGTCAGTCCCCAACTAAAACGAGAAACAACGAAATCAAGTACAACCAACCAAGCTAGACGCCATTCAAGAGCCATCTCAAGGACAGCGTCCTCGAAGCGGAGTGCCCGCCATGAGCACAGCACGTGAAGCTCATAGGCAACAGTGCTTTGACGTTGCATTTGCGGTTAGATTCGAAGTGTTCTTCGAGTTCCGGGATGTTCGGATTCGGGTGAAGGCTTAGCAGGCTTTGCGTCCCAAGTCCGGCTCGAATACCCGAGAGGCAAGCCTAAGTCAACCACTCAGGCTCGTCTTGCTGCTGAGTGGCAAGGCCAGGAGCCTAGAAGAAGAAGATGTGTTTTTTGACACGAGGGACCGCCTGCGAAGGCTCAGTGAAACAGCCCAGATTGAATGGCTTCCCTAATTCCGAATCCTTGAGCCTTCCTGCAAGTTCAGAAGGAGACTAGAAGTGACGAAGGCACTGCAATTCAAGCAACAGTCGCCGAAGTCTGGAGGTCAGCATTGCCAAGCCAGGCTTGCCTGAAGGCCGGACGGGGTCTCTTTGCCTCCACGGCTGCTGTCTTTCTCTGCTCGGCGTGCCTCGCTCGCAGGGGCGAAGCTGCACAAGGGCGGCGTGGCGGCCACCCAAGTTGGGGTCGGGGTTTCTTTCGGTCATAAGACGACCAAGTTGTAATGGCCCATAGGCTGGAGGCTTTCCCTTCGGAGGCTTAGACTAATTGGAGCGTCGCCGGGTTTGCCCTAATTAAGACTTGTCTCCTACATGTGTCAAGCATGAGGCAGGTTTCTCTTGGCGAAGAGTAAATCTCTTAGGCGAAACAGCAAGACACCTTGGCTGTGGCTACCGGAACCGACGTAATCAAAGTAGGCTGCCGCAGGGAGTTTGTGGTCAGGGCAGCGAAGTGGTGCGGATGGGACCGAGAGGTTGGCTTCTGTGGACTAGTACCTTGTACCTGCAGCGCCCTCCCTGGAGCCACAAGGCCTAACTAGGAAACTAGGTGCGAAGATGCGCGCGCGCGCGTACGAAGATACACTTTCAGGAGGCCCTGAAGCCCACCCAAGCGCCGCACATACGCCATGGCCCAGCGGCTGGATACCCTGGTGTTCAACGGCTATGCTTGCATGGCTCCTTTCTGCCGGAAACTGTTTTGGAAGTGGGAAGAGGCAAAGCGTCACATGCATCACGAGTGTAAGGCTCTCCCCCGTTCAACAAAGCATCCAAAGCAGGCTGAATCCATCAGGAAGGCACTTGACATTGGGCGCAAGCACAGGGAAGACCATCCCGAGCTCAAAGACAACGGATTCATTTTGCTGAATGCAGATGGCTCAGTGCTGAGGAGGCCACTGGAAGTTGGACGAAAGCAGAGAGAAGAGAAGCCTGAGCTGAACAACGATGGTAACGTAGACGGCGACGTACGGCGAGATGGCAAGTCAGAGGGAGCCCCGACCATCAAGCCCTTGACTACTCATGTTACTGCTCCAACAGCACCTATGACAGGAAAGCCATCAGAGCAGCTGAACACCTCGATATTCAATGGCTTTGCTTGCCTTGCTTGTAGCTGGCAGGCTACGTTTTGGAAGTGGGAAGAAGCAAAGCGTCACATGCTTGTGGCATGTGCTACTTTTCCCCGCTCAATCAAGCGGCCAAGGGAGGTCGCCTCCATGAGGAAGGCACTGGACCTTGTGCAGAGAGGACACCAGCCCGAGCAGAGAGAACACCCCCCCGAGCGGAACGACGGGGCGATTTTTCTGAGTGCAGAAGGCGCGGTACCACAAGGGGGTACATTCCACACATTCCAGGAAGCCCGAACCATCGAGCTGTTGACTGTCACGGCCCCTCCAACAGCGGTACCAAAGCCACCAACAGTTGCAGACGGCAGCCAATCGCAGAGGGGTCCGCCCGCAAAGCAAGAAGCGACCACGTAATTCGAAGATCTCAGTGGTACCTCCGCTGCCCAAACCGGCCACAGCGGAAATCTCCAAACTCCAGATTGTTCTTTGGGATGAAGCCGCCAGCCAGCCCGAGGTTGAGCCCAAATTGCTGCCCCCGCCGCCTCCTCCTGGCTGTTGCCCGCTCTTCGACCGTCTTCCATCCCGGTCCGTTCGGTGCTTGCCCTTCCTGCTGGTAGTCTTTGGATTCTGGTCGCACTTGACACGTGGCTTGCGACCCGTTTGGAGCCTTTGTTTTCGCGATGCGACGAGTGTGTGGTGCCCTTGCACTTCGTTCTCCTCGACGCCAGGGCTACATGTTTCCTTAGAGGCATCTTACCGACTCGACCCTGAGCTCGTAAGCGGCTGAGCCCGAAACATGTAGGTTTCAGAAGGCTGCCAAAAACGAGGTGTTGAAAAGATGCACAGGCTATCTGAAGGTTCATGACTCTGCTTGCACACAGTTGCATAGCGTTACGCATTCCATATATATATATATATACACACATACATATGGTCAGTCAGTCAATCAGTCAGTCAGTCAGTCAGTCAGTCAGTCAGTCCGTCAGTCCGTCAGTCCGTCAGTCATTTCATTCGTTTCATTGATTATGCAGTCATGTATTTATGCATGCATTCCTTCATACGTGGTGATGCATACATCCGTGCATGCATGTGTTTATATGTTCTGGCAGTGGTAAGTAAGACTATTCGCAGGCATAGAGCAACAGCAAGGTTCAGACTGACCTCAGGGGTTTACCAGAACCCAAGCCTTCCAACAAGGTCAGTGCAAAGGATCCAGATGTTCTGGGCGTGGTCGTGGAGCAGGAGACATTACGGGAACTGGTATTAAGATCCTAACAGCAACCATGTCTTCTCGCTTCCTCAAATGAGCCGCAGAAATGCAAGGAGTGCTCCTTGCTCTACGTTGACATGCCACGGGTGGAGCAGGCAGGGCGCTGCTTCAAATAGTTGCGGAGGGTTCCAGCTTGTGGCAATGATGCGCTGCACCTTTGTCACTAAATTGCCTCTTTGCTCGCACTAGTTTTGTATGTTCAGGTGGTTCCTCCAACAAATTTGGGGTCATGTACACTTCCAAGCACATGACCTGTTGTGTAGCTCTTTCATGTGGGACGGTGCATATTAGGCATCGAATCGACTGTGTGTCGTATGGTAGGTAAGGCTTGTGCTGTATCAAGCACAGCAGACCGACGATTTGCTAACCAGAAAATCCAGCATTATGTGTACATCTTGAGCACGCTCACAAGCGTATGAATGCAGGTGTTTAAGGCAATTCTGTGTGTGTGTGTGTGCATGTTTCTTTGTGTTTGATTTGACCGCTTGTCAGTGTGGTTGGGTAGGTGTCGGCACAGGTACCAATGAAGCCACTGCAACTACAGATTCGTGCGATGGTAGCGATGCTTCTCACAGTTTCCAGCTGCCGCCACAGGACATGGCCGATTCCCGAGCAGCACGCGAGCAGGCACTGTGGAGAATCGAAGCACCAGAGAAGATGGAATTAAATTTCAAGAGCTAGGGAAGCACAGCTACATTCCCAAGCTTGCTCATTGTCGGCACGCTGAGACATGGAGTATGCGAGAGTCCAGACAGGACACTCAGCTTCAAGCCGAAATTGTGCCAAAGCCCATCCGATCCACTCCAGAACAGCACTAGTGACAGTGGTAGCAACTGCCCGGCCTACTGCCATCCGACGACTTAACCTTCGATTCCCGACCCTCTATGCTGTGCGAGAGGTGGAGCGTGAGCTGCGCAGGCTCAGCTGCAGGGGGGGGAGGGGGCCCTTCATCAAGAATATTGAGGGCTTCGTGGGTGAGGTTGCCAAAGTGCTTAAGCGAGCAGCGAATGAAGCATTTTTCAGCCTCAAATCGCTTGCTCAAAGCCCCCCCATCATCGGAGCCATGTCTCAGCCTGTCGCCCTTTCCGCCTCTTGGCAGAAGGTGCGATACAGTTGGGCTTTGGGGGCTTAGACTGTTCTGTGTTTCAACTTGACTCTGGCTTTGGGATGTGTGTCTTCTGATGCAACAAGCGGATTGCCATCTGCTTTCGATGGAGGTTCCCAGGAACCGGGCAGCATCATTGTCCATGCTGGCTTTCAAGTCGGAAGATAGGGAGCATGTTGTCTACAACTGCAGATCTAGCCGATGGAGACGTGGACGGGATTGTTGTTCTGGCGGCCAACGGGGTTGGAAAAGAATGCCGACCCCTCAACCTGACCTTTCACGACAGCAGCAAGCACCGTCTTCAGAGAAGTGGCAGAGCAGGGGCAGGGGGGCAGGTGGCAGGGGGAGTTGCACAGGAGTGGGCAGTGCCAGTAGCAGTAGAAGCAGTAGAAGTAAAAATCCTCATCCTCATCCTCATCCTCATCCACCATCAGTACAAGCATACTACGTGGCATCCTGCCGGCTGGCTCTCAGGACTTTAACTTCTTGGGTATCTATATAAACTATAATAAGGATGCTAAAACTTACTTTTAGGAGGGGTTCCGAAGTCAGCCAGAACTAAGAACAGTAATAAACACAATGACAACAGTGATCGTAATGACCAGAGCAATGTTAGTAGTAATGGTGGTAGCCTGCTTCAAGAAAGGCTGTGCTCGGCGCAGCCGCCCTGGGTGGATGTGCATTCTTGGCACCAGGCAGCTTCTATTCATACGGGGCTGGCTCACGCAGATTCTATGGTGCTGTTAGCAGTGAATGAACAGGAAACGGTACTTGCAGCTCCCATGGTCCCATGGAGTTTTGAAGCGTGGACACAAGATGTGCTACGCGGCTCAGGAGGGCAGACCGAATCTTGACCCGACCACAGGCACCTCGCCAGAGGCACGTGCCCCTCGAACCCTGCGCGGCGCCTCCCAGGCACGGAGCAAGACGAAAGATGAGCAAATATGAGGGTTAAGATGATTTCGCGTGTTGGTCCACTCAGCTTGCGAGCACTGGGGCAATGCTGCGGTGCTCTGGCTGCGAGTAGGCAGCATTTGGAATTCTCTACATCGGATCGTCGATCTGAGGGATAGCTGCACGTAGATTGGTCTCGATGCAGCCCCCACCGCGCTCCGTTACTTCCAAGACATGCCGAAGAGGGTGCAGAATACAGAACGTGCTTGAGTTACCGCTGGAACCGTGGTTGAGTTAGCTGGAACCCGTCACCAAAAAGTATCTAATGCCTTTTCAATCAGCAGGCTCTAGCACCATATGCACGAGCTAGGACTATGTTGCCAGCCCCACCTCCCGATATTCCATTCCGGATGCAATACAGATTTGTAGAGATTCAGCTGGCGAGAGGCTCCTCAGGGTGCTGCCTTCGGCAGCGCTGCGCCTTCTGCGCTCATGGGAGCCGGGGTGGCGGCGGCCTTGGCCTCAGAGAGTCCGAGCACCGAGTCATCGCGTGTGTTTGGAGGCCTAGTTCAGCAGAAGCCTCAGTTGCGGCTGACGCATTGAGTTGCTTCATACATCCTTTGCCGGCTTTTGCAGGTACTGATACTCCCGGTGTCATGCACCTCTTTGCTGAAAGGGGTCTCGCCGCTCTCGCCAGGCCGCGGTCACGGCCTGCAGGGCTGCAGCGGTGAAGAAGAAGGGTGTGAAGGCGAGGAAGAGCCCCTGACTCAAAGCTCATGGCAATCACCTTCTCAGCCCCAGCCTCGCAAGTCAAAGCATGGTCATTCTGAAAGGAACCCGCCATCAGAGTGACCGGCAGGTGGTCCATGGCAAGGAGATCCCGTGGAACCTCTTCACACCTAAGGCGCCCTACCAGGCCAAGGCGCGGTCCTCGCCGTCCGACGGAGAGTGCTTTTGCGAGGTGATGTCATTGACTTCACTACGGAGAGTTCATCCACCTCCTCCCTCCCCTTTCCTCCTCCTCCCTCCTCCCTCCTCCCTGCCTCCGCCACCGCCGCCACCACGACCACCGACAACAACAACTTCTACCACCACCGTCACCCCTGGTGTGGTTCCTGCTGCGGCTGCCACAGTTTCACTGCTACCACAACCTTGGTCAATTACATTCCAGATTTCTCACGTAAAGCTACATGGCATCGCAATGATGCCACGCATCCGGCTTGCGCACAAGCCGTGCCAAGATTGCTTCCATGCCGACAAGTTGCAAGGGTGGCTCTTGCCCAGCAGGTGGTGCCGAACCAGAAGCACCCTCAGACATTGACAGAGGACAGCCAAAGGTATCCGGGCAGATCGAATGGCTAGGTCGGCTAGGTCATTGGGGCAGTAGCTCGCTGCTGCAGGATACCGGCGATGCCAACTGGGAGACGACACATGCGACTCTGCTTTTTGATTTGTTTCTGGTTGAAGAGCACCGCGGAATCAAGCTTCCCATTCGGCACATCCAGCAGAAGCAGAGCCTAGCCTGTGCCTCCTCAGGTCACCTTTGACCACGCTGGCAAGGTGCCCTACATTGAGGGTCAATCCATCGGGGTGATTGCTCCAGGACCGGCGCAGAACGATGGCCGTGTGGCGACCGAAAATCAAGTCTCGAGGGGTGCAGGGAAGGGTGCCGAAGAGTGTTTTACGACAGGTTGAAATGGGAACAGTGTCCAATGCCAAGAGCCACGGAAGTCTCCAAACCAAGTCTCGAGAGTACCACAACCCCCAACGAGCCACGGTTTTGAGGACCCGACAAGAAGGGCGAGACGCCGGCCAGGCAAGAAGGGCACTTCTGCAACAGGGCTTCCGTTCGGGCCAGGGCTTCCGGTTCAGAGGGCTAGCTGGGCAAGTAGACGGGCCCGCTTGAACCAATTGGCGTATGCATACCAAGGGTAGAGGCTTCGTCTTATGCAACACAGGGATGTCGCGGAAAGATCGCTTGGCGAAAGGAGCCTGCTTCAGTCAGGATCCGTCTCTACTCCATCGCATCCTCCGCGGTGGGCGATGACGAGACCTCGAAGACGGTTTCCCTTTGCGTGAAGCGTGTGGTGGAGGCCAGGCTTGCGAGGCTTTTGAGGTCACACATGAATGGGGGGCTTCAAAAGAAAAAGCAGCGGGCACCGAAGTCCTGGCTTTCGTTTTCGTGCTTGAACCACAACATGCAGAGGTGTGCGAGGCTCAAAGGTTTAGAAGCGCCAGGTGGATGGAAAATTCGCCAACCGCGAAGTCGGAGAGGAGTCCGGGTTTCTGGAGCTTCTGAAGATGGCTGAAGCCTGGGTTCCCGAAGGATCCAAGAACCTTGATCCCTGTGTTGTGGTAGAGCAGTAAGCAGGACAAGCCAGACAAAGCTGGCACCGCCTTCCCCGACAACAAGGCAGGTGCATGTCCTGAAGCAACTACATAGCCAGTTTCCTCACCGAACAGAATCGCAACGATGGCAAAAGTAGGATCCACAGATCGCCACCATGAAACAGCGGTCCTGGCAGAACGGTCAAACCACCTTGTGTGATTTCGAGAGCTCCTCAGCCAACAGCCGCCCCTGTGTGGTGCTTGTAAGGTGAAAACGAGGAAACAGCCTCCTCCCGGAAGGTGCCCGCTCAACGGAGCTTAGATCCAACTCGACCTACACCACCTTTGGAGCCGTTTCTCGCAAATCATACTGCTGTCAATCCTGGATCGAGGTGTCTTGCTGGCTTAGATTGCAAATCAAGCAAACTCAAGTGCCGGCAAAGGTCAAACGTCGAAGCTAGCGTAACCGTAGGCTGATGTTCGTGGTATGCACCTGTGCCTGAATCGCCTGTGCAGGTCTACCGTGGCGTGTGCTCCAATCACATTTGCGACCTGAGCGTGGGTGATGATGTCGCGCAGCCGCGAGAATCGTCAAGATACCTTACGGCTGCAGGTCACTGCAAGATTGTTTGATCTGGCTCGTCTGTTGGGACGATGAACAATGTTGATGTGAACGGCATTTTGTGGAAAACGCTGGTAGAAATGTCGACTCTCAGCAATTAGATATTGCTTTTGGAATGGGATTTGCGCGCCACTTAGGAAGACCAGTGGAGTTTGAGGCTCTTCAACTTCAGTCTAAGGCTCTCATGGGCCCGGCTCAAGCATCTTCCCAGCCCAGGTGATGATCACTGGCCCCACTGGCGCGGAGATGCTGCTTCCCGAGGCATGCTGTCGGTAGTCAGAAGCAGTGCTGAGAAAGTGCGTTGTAATTGGCATGTTTGCCGGAGGTAACTTGCCCGATAATCACCCTTGCCCAATGTGGGGGCTCACGGGGTCCACACATGGTCCCCCCTTAACTGATTTGCGAGGCGGTATCAAGGACTATCGTGTGTTGGCGGGCGCTGGTGAAAATCATGATGCTAATGATTACGACGAATCTGTGCATGGGCATGAGGAGCAGGATGAGGATCAAGACCACAATGGTTTGTATTGTGATCGTCACAAGTGTCATGCACAGGGGCTCTCCTCTGCTCATGGAGTGGTGCTTTCTGAAGATCAGAGAGAGCACCGCACCATGTGCTATAGCTGTGAAAACCCCTTTTGCACTGCAAAGGATCCGGAGGCCAACATTGTCATGCTCGCGACAGGCCACTCTTTGTGTTTGTTTGTGTGTGTGTGTG